CTGCCTAAAGCCTGATTCACAGTTAGTAATCTTGTTGACGATTTTCTCATCCTGACAGATTCAAATGAGTGGGCTTGCATACAATTGGTTTTCACAAGTATACGTTTCCATGTCTTTTGCATGTTACTGATCCAGTGTTCACCCCTTCAGCAGGAAAAATATTCGCCGAAAAAGATTTGCTGGCTGAGAACCTGAATTAGGATCATCTCAAAACACCTCTCAATGTGAAGATGGCTCACCTCCATATAAACACATGCTAATTTTATCCAGTAATTTTTGACAGAATAATTAGGATATTCAATATATAAGTAAAACATGCCAGGGGTTATTCTAAGGATAAATTACAACTCCAGTAAATAAAAGAATTCTGCCACTTTGCTGAAGTATTAAGCCTTGAGGAGGAGATCTACTGTATCGACCTGCATTATCCCTGAGAATAACTAGCACGGCTAATTATATTTTTTTAATTAGGTGTGGTCTTCATCTTATTTATTCTCCAGTTACACTGTATGTGACTCTGTCACAGCAACTGTTAGTCACTTTTCGGTGTGGTGACGTAAGACCCAACGAATACGGTACACCTGTTGATGAGGTAGGTAATATACCTTAAGGACATAGGTTCTTATTGGGTCAATGGTGGGGAAATTAATTAGGTCTTGAAAGAAGGATATTTGTACTAGTTATTATATAGGCTTTAGTGCACAATAATTCCATATTTCCTTTAAACTGATGACATACTTCATAAACTATAAACATCTTAGGAAATAAACACGACCTTCGAATGAGTTTCGCTCAGTCTCAGGTCAAATACTTTTCCATTTAGCATTCACAATTAATATTATTTTACTTCTGTTTGTTTATAAAAATAAATAAAATGTTTTCCCTGCTGACAGAGCTATCAACGTATCAAACTGATAAGAGATAACGACGAATAAAATCATGTAAAATTATGTAAATATTGAACGAAACTGATTTGTCAAGAAGAACTTCTCAAAATGTCTCTGCTACAATAGATGTCAAGAGTGAAATCTTCTACTATAATACTTCTTGTAAAAATTCAAAGGAAGAGCCTGATATAATCAACTTTCCTTGAAAGGCATTGCCCTTAGTATTCCACGAGAAAGGCGAGTTCATCACCTTTTTGTGACAGCCTTAAGAGATGTAACAGCGGTGAAGAAAGAAATTATTTATTGCTTTTTGGAATTTCTAGATCAGAGATTTGGACATTTGGTGTTGATCAGAAGATATTGAAAGTAGTCAAACCCTTTATTGCTTTAAAGCATGATGCTGATATCAAGGAATTCCACGAAACAATACTGTATGTTCAGATTTACCGTTAATAGAACTTTCTCTAGAATTTAACAGCATTAACTAGGTTAACTTGCACAAAATTTAATTGTACTGTTGACGCCTCGCCCTCGGAACATGTGAACATTTTTTATTTTACCCTAAACTACAGATATTTCGCAAATTACAGATTTCGCAAACTGCAGATTTCGCAAATTACAGATTTCGCAAATTACAGATTTCGCAAAGTGCAGATTTCGCAAACTGCAGATTTCGTTTCGTTTCGTAAACTACAGTTTCGTAAACTACAGTAAGCCATATACAACAACATAAGTATATATCTATATTGACTAAAATCACTTCATTAGACAGTACGGTATACAGTAGTAACAACTAAATTCAGTTTTAAGAGTTTCTTCTGCCCTATAACTATATTGCTTTAGGCAATTTTCCCACGACAATGCATTTGGACTCAGTAACATGCAGACCACTGCAGATAAACCAATCCCACAGCAGCGAAGTAATACATCAAAAGAGTTTATCTTCACAAAACATTACATGGTACTGATTATATACCTTCTTGTATAGCTGTGCTACTGTCAATCTCCTTTATCAGGTGGTCTGAACCCTCTATGGTTAAACCCGGTTCTTTTGTGTTTGATGTACTACAGCATGCAAAAGTGATATATCATTTGGTTTACATCAATCTAAAAGAATGGAAAAAACTATAAGAACAGGCACCATTAAAATGATTACAGTTTTTACTGCCAATCAAAGAACACAAGAGAATCAGATATATAATGGCATACCGTGAACCTCCGAACATATGCCCTGGGCTTATATTCGTTCGTAAAGTTTTTTGATGGGGGCTTATGTATAGGGGCCATATACTTTTATTGTATCTGTAAACAATGTGAAGTGTGAACCATTGCCTCAGTCAAAACACGTTCATGACCACTGAATATTGAAGACTAGAAGTGATGATCATTCCTATGTTGTACAGTTAAAACACAGACAAGAAGGGATATGTATTTTAAAAATGTAAACAATATTCTTGGGACCGCTTCAAATGTTCAAACAAATCTACCAACCTGAAATTCGCATTATCTTGACCATGACATAGATTAAGACCATGATCTGGACCTTGCCCTCGGCAGCAATTCAACGCTCTTCCTTCGATTTGATCTTTCGACAGAATCGACTGTTTAGCTTTAATTTTGTTAAATATTTAATATTCATGCTCATTATTCATATCCAAGCACTGTCCTCACAAAGATTTACCATAGTATAGCTATTATATAAACGCTGATATTCATATACACCGTTGAATGCGATTCGAATTCAAAATTTATAGATATTGTGCGCCAAAGAAGTAAAGAACGAACAATAACCAACGGCTGCCAACGGTTTATGAAACGAAACACGACGATGTCCATAAAAGGATATAATCGAAACAGCTCGCTTCGAGTTCGGTAAAAATAGTACAAACATGCTTTGCGCACCGCGACTCTTGCCTGTCGCCATATCAAATCGTTTGCTTCTTTATGTCGCCGGAATATTTGAATATTTATTACTTCTCAACGCAGGAATACTTAAAGATTAAATCAAGCAAGGAAAAGCAAGGTATGTACTACACAATTGCTATTTATTTCCCCAGAAGAGAGAGTACAATCTCATTATCTCAGGACTATATTGTAACGGAATTTTATTTTGCTGGTTTACAACTCGTGTATAAAATACATGAGAAAAATTTTGTCTTGAGTTAATACAGTAACAATTCCACAGGATGTTGGCCTCTCTGCAACTGATTTATTTCTTACAAAGACAACATTTTTTCTTCGCTTGACAGCTTTTTGATAGTGTAATATTTATAACAATATTTCTTGGGCATCTCACTTGATTGAAATATTTCTTGGGCATCTCACTTGATTGAAGTCATTGAGGAATTATGAATGTGAATAAGTTTGTACATGGTCTATAAAGAATAGGCTTTTCACATCCAATCATTGCCAATGGAGGAGTGGGGTGTGTAATGATATACTTCCGGTTTGAGACCCCCCATGGGGCCTCGTGTTGTTGTTGTACTTATCTATTATCAAGTCATGAATATATGTCAGAACTGCCTGTGGAAATACAAAGCTCGAAGACTATTACATGGTGTCAGGAGTGCGATTTTACTGAATATCGACCGTATAAGCTACAGTCATGGCTCTTAGCGGTATTGAACTCCCTGTGATGCAATGGGACGGCGAAAATCTCAAGGAAAATTGGCGACGTTTTAAACAACATGTCGAATTAATGTTCTCTGGACCGCTGAGATCAAAAAACGAAGCGGAGAAATGCAGCTACCTACTCATCTGGGTAGGGAAAAAGGCAGGGATATATACAACACATGGTCGGATATCTCAGAAACAAACAGAGGTAAATTAAAAACATATTATGATCGATTCGAAAAGCATGTCAATCCGAAAACAAACCCCGTCTTTGCCAGATATAAGTTTCATAACAAAATACAAGGCCCCACCGAGCCAGTAGAGAAATTCACAACAGAGTTACAACTCCTAGCCCAAGATTGTGAGTTCCACGACCAAAATGAAATGGTTAGAGACCGAATTGTGTTTGGGACAAATTCAAACAAAGTGAGGGAAAAACTTATAATGGAAGGGGCAGAACTCACGCTAGAAAAAAGCTATACAAATCGCAAGAACCTATGAAAAAACCCAAGCCCAACTCAAAAGCATGTCTCCTGAAAACAAGGAAGAAAGCATTCACTTAGTTAGACAGCAAAACCAAGGCAGTCAATCTCAAAGATCGAGACAATCACTTGACCAAAAGTACCCCCAGCAATCACTTGAACAAAAGTACCCCCAGCAAATAAGCCAGTGTGGGAACTGTGGGAGAAAGCACTACAGATCAGAGAAATGTCCAGCAAAAGGGCAAACCTGTTACCTATGCAACAAGCCCAACCATTTTGCACAAGTATGTCGATCAAAAGGGAGGCGGAGCCAAATACACCCTATCGAGAAGGTAGAATGTGACCCCTCAATGACCCAATTTGAAACTCTAACTTTTGAATCAATTACTGTAGCTAATGTTAACCACCAAAATTTGAAGGCAGACGAAGTGTTTGCAGAGGTGGGCATCCACCTAGATCCAAAGCCCAAAGCAACAGTCAAGGCTTCCCTACAAACACACGCAAAGGCATCACTGAAAGCCAAAGTCGATACTGGTGCCCAAGGGAATATACTCCCCCTAAGATTATACCGGGGGATGTACCCCTGCAAAATTGATCTGAAGGGCGACCCCAAGAAAGGAGCTACAAAACATTCTAATACTATCCTCACAGCATATGGGGGATCCAAGTTACACCACCATGGCACCGTCACCATTGATTGCGAATTCAAAGGCAAAAGATCTGCTGCACAGTTCTATGTCACAGACACACAAGGCCCTGCTATCATTGGCCTACCAACGTTGATTGACCTCAACCTTGTGAAATTCAATTGTGCCATACTCAAACAAGTGTTACACAGCAACACACTATGGTCCACAACAAGAACCCCTGAGCAAACACCACTAACCACCAGAACCCCCGAACGACCAGCAATATCCAAACCAATAAAGAGCAAAGAAGATTTGATAGATCAATACCCAAACTGTTTTAATGGCAGAGGAAAATTCGAAGGAGAATACCACATAACCACCGACCCATCAGTCCCACCTGTTATCCACCCTCCGCGACGAGTTCCAATCAGTCTGAAAGATGACATTAAGAAAGAACTAGACGAGATGGTTGCAAATGGTATCATAACTAAAATAAACGAAGGAGAGCCCACAAGATGGGTAAACAGTCTTGTCTACAAGAGGAAACAGAATGGACTATTGCGTTTATGCCTAGACCCCAAAGACCTAAACACAGCTATCTTAAGAGAACATCACGCCTTTCCTACCTTGGAAGAAATTTTACCAAAATTACACAAAGCAAAGTTCTTCTCAATAGTCGATGCAAAGTGTGGCTATTGGAATGTGGTACTTGATGAAGAATCAAGCTATTTAGCTACCTTTAACTCCCCATTTGGCAGGTACCGTTTCAAGCGTATGCCCTTTGGGCTGAACATGTCACAAGACATCTTCCAAGCAAAGATCGACCAAACATTCGAAGGATGTAGAGGCGTTGTGGGTATCGCAGATGATATTGTTATCTCTGGCACAACAGAAGAAGAACACGACCAAAATCTACGAAGCATGATGAGCCGGTGCCAAGACACAGGTCTGAGACTAAACCCTGACAAATGCCACATAAAGCAAGAGAAAATAAAGTTTTATGGGCTTATCTGCGGTCCAGAAGGAATTCAACCAGACCCTGACAAAGTGTCCGCCCTGAAGCAGATGGCCCCAACGACCTACAGCAAAGAACTACAGACATGCTTGGGTCTGGCCACCTATATGGCACCATTCATCCCGAATCTCAGTTACCACACTGCCTCACTGCGACAGCTACTCAAGAAGGAGAGCAAGTTTGCCTGGGACGCAAGCCAACAGGATGTGTTTGACAGGATCAAGAACTTAATTTCTGAAGAAGTTACACTAACATACTTCGACCCAGAGAAAGAGACAGTACTGCAAGTTGACGCATCAACCAAAGGCCTGGGAGCTACACTCTTGCAAGAAGACAAACCAGTCGTCTTTGCCAGTAAAGCTTTAACTGACGTAGAATCACGATACGCAAACATCGAAAGAGAACTCTTAGCAGTTGTATACGGATGCGAGAAATTCCACACTTATCTCTACGGCCGCAGTTTTACAGTCCAATCTGATCATAAACCCCTTGAATCTATCCACCTTAAGCACCTTACATCAGCCACACCCCGCCTGCAACGGATGTTGTTGCGCCTACAGCCGTACAGCCTTACAATCAAGTACCGTCAAGGAGCAGATATGGAAATCGCAGATGCCCTATCAAGACTTTCGACCCAGGAAACAGAGCCCATCTCTGACATGGACGTCCAAATACACGAAATCTGCCCACAATTTAGTAGTGGGATTCTGCAGGAGATCCGCGTGGCAAGTGCAACAGATACGGAGCTCAAAGAATTAAATGATGTGGTTTACAATGGATGGCCAACGAACATAAAGCATGTTCCAGAAATCTTCAAACCCTATTGGACCTTTCGTGATGAGATCACCACCGAAGATGGTATAGCAATGAAAGGCCAACGTATTATCATCCCCCATAGTATGCAGAGCATGATACTTACGAAGCTTCACGCAGGTCATCAAGGGTCCGAAAAAACTAAATTAAGAGCACGAACATCGGTTTACTGGAGAGGAATGAACAGTGACATTGAGAAGTCGTGCAAATCGTGCAATACATGTCAAGAAATGCAGAACAGTCAACCCAAAGAGCCACTTATCCAGACAGAGATACCGCCAGGTCCATGGCATACCATCGGCACGGACTTATTTTACCTAGGCGGAGCGGAATACTTATTGGTCGCTGACTACTATTCAAAATACCAGTTCGTGCGAGAGGTACCAAAAGGGAAGAGCAGCAGTAGGACAATCGCGAATTTAACGAAAGAAATTTTCAGCGAACAAGGAGTACCCAAAATCGTAAGATCCGATAATGGGCCCCATTTTGAAGGACAAGCATATAAAGAGTTCGCAAAGCAATATAATTTCCAACATACCACAAGCTCACCACACTACCCCAGAAGCAATGGGTTTATTGAGAGCCAAGTCAAGACTACGAAAAAGACAATGAAAAAAGCAAGAGCAACCAATACAGACCCACTCATGGCTTTGTTATGCTTACGGGCAACTCAAATCAACAGCACTCTTCCATCCCCAGCTGAGCTCTTATTTGGTAGACCAATCCAAGACAACCTGCCAAAGAAAATACCGAAAGGAAAAAACAACTGAGGAGGTGACTAGCAGATTATTACAGCGGCAAGCTAGGCAGAAATACTACCATGACAGAAATACAAAACCGCTCCAACCATTAAAACCTGGTCAAAGCATAAACATCCAAGACCCAAGGACATAAACCTGGAAACCCGCAGAGATAAAAGAGAAAATTCAAGAAGTACCCCGATCTTACATTATCACGAAACCAGGAGGAGGAGAAATCAGACGAAATCGAACACAGATACGAGAACGCCCACAAGATCCAATGGAACAAGCATATCAACAACCCTGTGAGAAAACACTAGACAACCCCGAAACCCCGTTCCCTAAGAGCACCTAAGAAAGCCACCAATACACAACGCGTAGCGGCAGAATAGTAGTACCCCCAACACGTTTAGATATGTAGAAAGAAATTGAACACAAGACGACAGTCTGTAAGTGACTTGATATTATATATATACAAAACATCTTATCTTATTGATATCTAAAAGAAACTATAGTACTATACTGAAACTCAAGGAACTATAAACTTTCATATTAATGTTAGGGAAAGGAGGATGTAATGATATACTTCCGGTTTGAGACCCCCCCCATGGGGCCTCGTGTTGTTGTTGTACTTATCTTGTAAGAATACAAAGCTCGAAGACTATTACAGTGGGCTGTGGAAATTGAGGGCTGGGTCATTAATTTTCCAAGTCTCAAATACGGGTGGATCATCAAAATTTTAAGGATACATTGAGAGAAGGGGCCAGACTAAAATCTGCCTTTATAAATTTAAATAGTAAATTTCATGGAACACAAACGTGTATAGGAAGAGTATGAAGTTGATGCTGTTGGTGGTAATGCTGTTTGTTGATATTATTAAAATTGCTTGGTGATCAACTAAAAATGTAGCATGTTCTGTGAGACAATCTCGAACAGTCAAAACAGACTAATACACTCAGTTATTTAAAAGAACAATAATATCCCAAATTGTCCCGAAATAAATTTAAAGCAAGATATTAATCACTGCAACCTTTATATAAATATATTTCGAAGCTGTCGGTTTTACAAAATATAATACCATTTATTGTCGTTGAGAAATTGAATCTTAATCCCAATTTGCGCTAGATTTAGCAAAAAAGACCGAATAGAATATACAATACTGCCAGATTGATGCGTCTAGTTTTGAATCAGTCTATAAGAAGCAGGTCAATAGAATGGGGGGGCGGGGTCATTATAATTTCCAGTTCCAAATAGGGGTGGGTCATGTGTATTTGTAGAAAAATTACGGGTGGGCCACATGCACAAAATTAGCATTTTAAAAATTTAATTTCCATAGCCCCCCCCCCCTATACTTTATGACCAGTTCCTAATGAGGAAAATTCCAAATGAATTAGGAATTTAAAAGAGCCTCTTGTAGTTTACCTGTAAATTAAACAAGTAGCTCTAACTTTATTCAACCCTAAAATTCTGGGGCGTCGAAAGCGGCGATGGGGGCCGGCCCCCAACTTCTTTAGGTGAGGGGTCCTAAATTTCTTTGCCCCCCCCCCACACACACTTTTTACCAATGGTCAATAAATAAACCACAACGGTTAATTGTCATTATTTCAGTTACGCGTGTAGACAAAACAATTTGAGATATTTTATGACATTTTGTTATCTTGTAAATCTCCTTCTAAAGTGCAAGAAATGGCATTTCAGAGAATCTAGTTTCGCTCCTGCCCTGAATGATCCACTATTGGTGAATATAAGGTGCGGGAAATTACGTGGAAATGCCGCTATATAAATGACTGAAGTGATTTATAGCACAATACGAGCCCGCGATACATGGCATGAGTGGATTGCGGTTGGATACAAAAAGTTGAAAATAAAAAGTTGTGTTGAAAATAAAAAGTTGTGTTGAAAATAAAAAGTTGTGTTGAAAATAAAAAGTTGTGTTGAAAATAAAAAGTTGTGTTGAAAACAAAAAGTTGTGTTGAAAATAAAAAGTTGTGTTGAAAATAAAAAGTTGTGTTGAAAACAAAAAGTTGTGTTGAAAATAAAAAGTTGTGTTGGAAATAAAAAATCGTACAGTGAAAATGATGTTGCAATTCTAAAAGTTGTGTTGAATATTACCATGTTGTGTACAAAAAGTTGTGTTGCAAACAAAAAGTTGTGATGAAAACAAAAAGTTGATTTTTGGCGGGGATGGGACACCATATTAAGCTACATCTGGTCAATTTGCATGCGGAAAAGTAGTCAATGGTCGTCATAAGGCCGGTCAAATTGGGACATTGGGTAAAATTCCCTATGTGGGTCTAAAAAATTTATGCGTTAATGTTGCGTGATGTTTGGAATTACCTTAAGGAAGGCTAAGTTGTAGTGTAACATAGCGTATTTCCTTGTTTCCTGGGTACTCAGGTAAAAATAATGACTTTGAAGTGGAAAACTGCCTTTATGTAAAAGATAATGTAGGTTACGGTAGGACAACGTATAATTTTAGCTAGGTACGTTGAGGTACCATAAGGGCTCTTTTACACTGTACACAAAACCAACTCGCAAGCCCGCTGCGAGTGTTTGTATCTATCAGTAGATGCTTGTGTTTTATCTATGAGTAATTACAATAAACAGTCGATGCTGTCGAGCATTGTGATTGTAAAAGTACCTTGCCAGTTGGATTTTGAGATAAGTGGATAATAGCCGGCTTATCAACGTAGGCTAAAAAAAAAGAGTAAAATGGTTTCGCGCGGAAAAATTCGCAAGTGAAAAACCGCGTAAAATGTAGGGATAAAGACGGTTGTCTATATCCAAATATACGTGCAACGCGTTTACCAATTCAACTTGCATATAATTTTACACATATCGTTTAGGGGTACGCCTTCATATATGGCGCCTGAAATTCTGGTTCCATCTCAACGACTAAAATCAGCAACATTTGACGATCTCAAGAAAGTAGATATATGGGCTTTTGGTATGGTCATGTACAACTTACTTCATCCTAACCTGAAGTACCCGTACCAGTTGGAAGTGAAAGCCAGAGAGATTACAATACCAGAGCTTTTAGCTGAAAAAAAACTGCCAAGACCATCAACAAAGTACGAAGATTTTCAAAATACTGTTTGGAGATCAAGTTCTTTGGCAAGCGCTACATGTCTTCAGTTCGATCCATCATTACGTCCATCTGTTACAACGATTAAGGACACATTCCAGTCATTAATAGTGGCCGGATCAACCCAGAGTATAAATCAAGGAAGTAATCATAATGAAACAGCAATTGAAAAAAGGAAGCAAGAGACTGTTGTCAACACGAGGTAGGCCCTATTTTTAATTAAACTGTTCGATATGCACGATATATAAAAGTATGCACCTGCCAGGTCCCTAATTCCCGTATTTATATTAACGATCTTCGTAAATAGATTCTGCTCGCAAACGATCGCGACGTGACGATATAATTTCTCATCCGATACGATTCAACCCTGACACATACGATGGTAACAGAGATGGTATACATCGCCGATGAATTATGACAAATGAAAATCAGATTCTGTGAATCTTCACCGAAAAAGCCTTATATTGTTTCTTCATGGATAGATCCCTAGCCCATTTTCATATACTCATATAATTTTTGTATATAATGTATTGAAAATATGGGCAAATCAATACACAAATCCGTTTATTTACTTTAGTGTAAAATTAGTAAGAGAACAAATTAGTGAGGCGAATGCAAATGATAAACCCACTTCATCATCTTCAACAGCCAGCATAGAGAGGTAATCTAATCAGAATGTTTTGCAGTTAAAATAATATTTAACAACCAGTAATACTTTAACTGATTCCTAGGCTTTTTTAAATTTATAGACAATCAGAATTAACGAAGAATCGTGTTCAAGTTGTCGATCTTACAGGAAATGAAAAGAGAATATCCAAAACAAGATTATCACCTGAAGCAATAAAAAGGCATGCACGGTGAAATTAATCCAGTATAGAAGCTCTAAAGGCTGTTATCCACTCTTTGCAAAAACCAACTCTGGCGCAAGGTCGATGCCTGTACGTTTGTCCAATCACAATCGCATCAGTTTGTTTTATTTACTAGATGCAAGCACTCACAGCGAGCTTGCGAGTGGGGTTTGCAATGAGTGGAAGAGCCTTACGCCTGTCGGCGGTAACGCCATCACGCTAATCCAACTATTCGTTAAATTTAAATAGTTTTTAGTGACCCCCCCCCTCCCCGAAAAAAATGAAACAAACAAAATGTTTATTGTTTATCATGCTTCATACCAGATTATATCCAACAGCTAGGGGAAAACTAATCTATATGTATAACTTAATTGTTTCCCCCGCCAGCAAAATTTATTTCTGTCCCCCCCCCAAAAAAAAATTGCTGGCTCCACCGTTGTTGTTTTTATGAATTTAGACACATTGGGTCAGCTTCAGTAGGATGTGCTGAAAACATCAGTGTAACACAATCGTCGTCGGGAGTAACCAAAAGGTATATATATCCCAGCAGAACTATACTGACAAAGTTACCAAAAGCTGCCATTGTCATGTATTATTAATTGAAATTGCGATTATAAGATATAAACAAAAACAGAGTTAAGTGGACAGATGCAAACAAATTTAAATATAAAAATATACTAATAGCTAATTAATCAGTAAAACTAAAAACTTAATTATTAATATTTGTAGTCTGAAGTTGAAAACCCTTGATCCTCCCACAGCGATTAACACAACTGATCAAAAAGACGAACTTGAAAGGTAAAAATAGAATGAACGACCAGACATGAAAACAATTCCAATAAATTGTTCCATATAGTTATTTGGGGTGCTTGACATTTTAGGTTTTCTTTATCTCAACTAGATGAAAAATCCCTACGGAAAATCTAAAGTATAGCATATTGTGTGCTCATATCTGTATGTAGTTTTAAAAGTAGTTCTGTTATACTTGTGACTGAAGCTAAATTATTTTTATTACTTTGTAAAGGCACACGCAACGGCAACTTCATGAACAAGATCCTTTACCAATTGACCTGACAGGGTATAACGATAACATGGATTTATCAAATGATGACGTTCTCTCAGAATCACCCAGTTTATCACTTGAAATAGTGGAAGAGAAATATGGCAAAGAATCAAACTTTATAATGAGGTAAAGTTATTACACTAATAACCAGAAACTAGAAAGTTTAAATATATCTGAAATTATCTAGAACGAGTGTTTAGAATATCAAAATATTGTCTTACAGTTCTATTGAAAAACGTCCAGAAGACGTGGAATACTACAAAGAAAATCTTCTACTCCCTGTGTTTTCCGACGAAAAGTACGTGCCGCCTCCTCAGGAAGTCGTTGATTTGCTATTTGGTGTCGGGAAGCTGGTACCGAGTCTACTTGTTTGTAACCATCAGCTTGTTGACGTAGAGCACAACCGCTTGTTCTTAGTAGATTTAAATGCTTTAAAATCAAAATATGATATCAAATGCGACGAATCTGGTTGCTGGATTAATAACAGCTGCAACAAGTTCAAGTTTGTTAAATACGAAGATAAATGGACACAATGTGATCATGGGGGTTCTGGACGTTAAGAAATTACGCTGAAGCGAACGTACTTTCGCTTAAAAAGCGATGAGAGTGGTGACTTTAGACGGCGAATTGATTTGATTGAACGTATGTATATTGACACGCTTTTCAGTTTAATAGTTTTTAATACTAAAATTTTTTTTAATAAGTCTACGAGTAAAATTATTGAACTATTTCTTGTAAAAGATCTACCCTGAGCACCATAAAGTTACTATTCTGGTGGACTGTACATTCATTGCGAGGCTAAGTACGAAAGTTGCAAGCCCCACTTGCCATCCTCGCGGTTCTGACATCTTTGTTAGAGCCGAAGGCGTGCCTAGACACAAAGTTAAGATTACCAAGGTCTCTTTTCACAATTTTTGGTTCTGTTTTATTTATAGTGAGCACTGGTGAAATTCACAGATTTTGCTTTGTTCAGTATTCGTTTAAAGGAGATACTGAACATCCTGTTATACCACGTCGTCATAAGAATTCAAAACAATCCTCGCAGCCATACGTACGAACGTGGGAAAGCACAAAATTGTTGCTAAAGAATGCCCCCGAAACAATGACCCCTCGCGATGTAGTATATACGACCGTGGCAGATGAAATTGGAGGAATTTCAAAATGTTCAAGCTCTGGTAAATTGCCAAGAGGCCGACAGCAAGTGAAGGATTTTTCACGATACGCAAAACAACAGAGAACGCACAACACTGCTGGCCAAATAAAAGACGATGATCCATGGCTTCGGCTGCTCGGTGAGGGTAAAAAGCAAGCTTCGTCAAGAAACACTGCTTTCATTCGTGACGTGCGAGTTGCACCAGAACCTTTATGCGTAATGGCGACCGACAGACAAATTAATGACCTAAAGCGGTTTTGCTGCCAGCCAACTGAGTATAAGCCTTTTACAGTCGACCCAACCTTTAATATTGGCGAGTATAATGTGACTCCAGTCACTTACCAGCATCTAATATTGGAAAACATAAGGGATAGAAAACATCCGTCATTCATTGGACCAGTAGTGATCCACGAGAAAAAAACGAAAGATACTTACGCTGCATTCAGTGGTACACTGAGGAATTTAGAGCCTGAATTACGCGACGTACTTGCTTTCGGCACAGATGACGAGGAAGCTTTACACGAGGGGTTTAAAATCAATTTCGATCGTTCTACCAATCTTTTATGCGAAATACATTTAAAAAAAAACATTGAAAAGAAGTTGGTCGAACTGGGGATAACTGGAAAGAAAAAAGCTGATATTGTTGCTGACGTTTTTGGACAACAAATTGGAACCATCTATGAGAGTGGCTTAATTGATGCGAATGACGAGAAGAGTTTCGATGCGATGTTGGAAAGTTTAAAGGAACGATGGTCGAATTTTGATGAGAAGGGAGGACAATTTTATGAATGGTTTTGCAAACAAAAACGTTCGTCTTTCTTACAGTCTGCCATAGCTCCAGTTCGTCAAAGAGCGGGTTTAGGATTCCCGCCCGAAAAGTTCACGACAAATCGTTCTGAACAAACTAACAGGTCCATCCAAGAATTTGTCAAAAAGGAATGCAATGTAATGAAGAAAGTTGACGAGTTTTCCTTCTGTGTGGCATTAAATAAGCTGGTAAAGATGCAACAGCAAGAAATACAGATGGCGATCGTAGGAAAAGGGGAATACAGGATCAGAGATAAATTTCAAGAGCTAAATGTACCACCGGAAAAGTGGAATAAGATGAACGAGAAGCAAAAAGAGATCGCAGTGGAGAAGATTCATTCTATCACAATTAAAGAAAGTGTATCAAACATAAGTGTGATTAATAAAACTGTCAATGATGGAGAGAATCCCCTTTGTGCGGAAATGGTTGACGCAGGTATCGACTGGATTCCCAGGACTATCCTCATCGCATTAGTTGAGAAGGCCACTAAATTATCGAAAACACCAGGAGCTTTAGTTCAACAGTCTCTGGATACTATTGTCGTTGCATCGAATTCAGACCCAAGAACGCCGCATATTGTCAATTTTTTTGCCAATGGTAGATCTGAATGTAACAATTGCCCAGGTTTCACATCTCAATCGGTATGTGCTCATGTCGTTGCAGCATGTATTAAGACGGACAGAACAAAGCAATTTCTACGATGACTTGTCTGCTCAAAACGCACTAAAGGTTCTACTAATTTGTCGAAAGCGGTAACTTTTGGTATGCCTAAAGGCAGAGGCAGAAAGGGAGAAAAAGCACCGCGAAAGAAAGGCAAAGGTAAAAAGCAAAGCCCGTTAACGGTCGTGCCACGAACTGTTCCTGCGCCAAATTGCCCAAGAATGGATGTTGAAGAGCTTTCCCCTTCATCCTACCATCATCAGCAGTCTACTATCCAGCGAGAAATCGCATCAGCATCGTCACGATCAGTAAATTCTTTGCAACCATTGAATGCAATGCTTCAAGTAACGCCTGCCAGTCATACTTCAACAGCATCCCTGCAGCAGCCGGTATCTTTACAACGACCACCGTCGTTACTACTTCAAGAAACATCTCAAATCACATATTCCCAAAGTTCAAGGTTATCGCAGCAACATCCAACACAAACACTGCAGCAGCCTGCATCTTCGCAACGAACACCATCCTTGCAATTTCAATCAACAACTCAAAGTACACCTTTTCAAAGTCCAACGTTATTACAGCAACGTCCTACGTCATCACTGCAACAACCAATAACATCCTTGCAATTACAACCAGCTACCTACCAAATTCCTGTAAGCTGCCGTCAACCACAATGTCCATCTTTTCCAAGTCCAACGTATGGACAGTTTCTCATTTATTTATTACAGTTCTGCCCAATGCAAACATCGACATGCTTCGGATGCGGACAACCACTAAAAGATGGTGATCAAATAAGAATAGCGCCCAACGACATAGTCATTGTTTCAAAGATGGTAAGAGAATTTTGTCATAATGGCACTCCAAAAAGCAAGTTGGGAAATGTGTACTTTCATTGTGATATTTCATGTGTCCGACGCAAGCATCCCAACTTCAAAGCTAGTTGTTGTATAATTCCACCAAGTATCAGGCCTCACCTTTTCAATGTACATATGTATCACTTGCAAAACATTCCTGGTCAATGAAATGTGACATGCTTCCTGTGTATTTTGAAACTACTTTGTTAGATTCTCCCCAGTAATCCGTTGACAAGATCGTATTAAGAAATCGATCACTGCAATTGCGGAATGCAAAGTTATTTATTCTTGATATATTTCATGTACTTGATCCATCCAACCTGTGACAATTTGGAAACTGTCATTAGGTATAATAGGATGCATGTGACAATGCCTTAACTACCCTGAGAATGAGGTTGCAATCAAGCATGTTTTATCGATGTAATGCTTTATTAGATACCGTAATCTCTCTAATAAGTTCCCGTGTTTAGTGAAAAAATTGATTAACCCCTTCATGTCCATAAACATTAATGTTTTTTAAAAGCCCGCTGCACACTAGAGCTTTAGCCGGTTTTCCACTTTACACCATAGTCACGAGTATAGTCATGTGCGGCGGGCTTTACATGCACGTGTCATAAACATCGAATGTATTTACTTTCGAGTGTGAGCTATAGTTTCCCCATTAAAAACAACAAGCAAAGTATAAACTAATAAATACTGAGTGCGTCGTAGATTCAGAGATTATAATATAGTTTCAATCATAAATGAATACGTTAGTTTTTAAAATATGATCCCTCTCGAAAAGGACTGAAAACAAGCTCTAAGGGGCTTAATAGAGATATTATGGTAGTTGTAATGTTGAGTTCAGTATTAAAGTTTACAACAAATTTAATTTTCAAAATTCACATTGTTAATTACAATCAAAAAGAAAGTTGAACCAAAATACTAGTTATGATTGAATAAAGTAATTGTTATATAACTTTGAAACTTTCATTTTGTGGTGTTGGGCTGTACAGTAATTGCTGCCGCTAGCAGCACTCCTAATTTTGACATGAGGGTTTACTCGACCCAAGTCTTTCGCTCGAGTAATGTATTGTCGACAGTCTCGATTTTTCTCGGATGGATTGATATCGAATGTCTGTTCATTTCCCGGGGGAAAACCGATCTTTTAGAAGTGGGGGAGTGAACAAGATATTGTAATTATATGCGCACAATTATATGCCCAAATCGAAACTCAACTTGCATTTGCACACGGATGCAAAATATCAAAAATGCTCAACAAAAATTCAGGTATAAAGTATACGGCCCTATTTGTTTCTGCTGATATACATCAAGGTCATGAACGTTTTGGTGTTCATTCTAGGGGGAAGCAATGCGCTTTTATGAGTTTTATAATCGGCTATTTTAACCGCACAAAATACCTTGCTGCTTAAGTGGTCAATATAACATGTAATATTAAATGTCCTATTAGGCAACAAGGCAACAAAATGTATTTGAATACAAGCACTACAGAAATGGCGGATTAATTGTTCTATAAAACTCGGGTGTTGAGTTGTCAAAAATCAAATCAACAGTCTTAGGAATGAGAAAGAAAACGACTAAAAATACAATAACCAACAATTTTAATTCTTAAAAATAAATATTTAAGGTGGCTCCCTAGGGTTTTTTAATTTACTATACACTATAGTATTCAGGAGACTACTGTTTCGTCACTTTACATGACATGAAGACGAAATTTATTGGACACATTGACAATGTTCTCCTGAACATTACAAATTGCAACTATTCATGGCAATCTATTTTCATGGCAACAACATGCTTAGAATAAAGCTCAAAATTTGTCTTTTTCAGGTCATTTTAAAAATTCCCTTCGGTGAAATTTTATAAAACTTTGCATAAAAGGTAATACTTGTATAATGATTTTTTCCCCTCAATTCAAAAAATTTAATCGATACGTTTCTTAGAAAATTTAAAAAACGTCAAAAATCAATATTAAAAATGTTCCCTTCGATTTAATTTTAAGAAAAAAGGATATTGCACTTGTTGTGCCGATATTAAAAAAATGTGCAAAGTTTTAAAAAATTTCACCGAAGGAAAACAGAGAAATTTGGGTTTCATTTTGGCAATTTTTACTAAATTTTGACGCAAACAATTTAATACCCCAACTGACGTGTACATGCATTTTGTATAAAACAACAAGGCATGACTTTTTTGAAATCACAAAATATAAATTATGTTTGATATACTGTTCATAACTGTGTCGGTTAATGGTCAATTAAGCGTGGATTATACATGTAAAATTGGCAAAGATATTTAGGTAATTACTGGTTATGACTTCTTGGTATTAATTTAAAAATTGTTTTTGTCAAAATTCGTCCCGTGCGAGTTAGTACTTTTCGCAAAATGCCCGTTCAAATTTCAGTTTTTATAGTGGTATGTTTGGAGTTTCGGCCCTGCTCATTTCACCCGTAGAGGGCTCATTATTTAAGTCATCTTTATTGTCATAAGTGCTGCTAGATTGTGGAGAAAACACTGCAATTTCTTGAGGAAACTTTATATCATATCCCAATGTTTGCAATCGAACCTCGCGTATGGCGCCACGGCGGTTCAAAAAACTTCCAGAATACCGCTTGAAAAAAAAAAAGTTTACATTATCTTCTTTTGAAACATCACATCCAAGTATCGTTTTGGCTTTTAGAACTCTTTTTATGCTTTCAACTAAAGCAAAGTTCACACTTTTGTTTAAAAAAAAGTTCCATATAAAACACAACGTTCGTTCGTATTTTGAAGTCACACGAGTTTTAGTTTGGATACACGAAGAACGTAACCCCCGGAAATGAAACCCTAGGGAGCCACCTTAAGACTATCCGGTATCCGTATCCGGTATCCGTATCCGGTATCCGTATCCGGTATCCGGTACCCGCGTTTTCTACCATGCCTTACAATTGTCCCTCCACAGCAAGCGGAAATACAACGCATTTTCCGAAAGATGTCTCGGAGGGAAATTTCTGGAAGACTTTTACCACAACAGGGCATCCTTTCACCTCAGAGGTTAGAACGAAGATGGAATTGAATCAGTTTTTATCGAAATTATTATGTCATTCAGTAAAAACATAATCGTAGGAACAATATATAGACCTCCAAACAAAAAAGTTGAAGTATTTGAAAATGCAATGAATGTATTACTACATAAAATTGATAAAGAAAACAAAATATGTTATCTTATGGGAGATTTTAATATTGATTTACTCAAATCAGTCCTGTGATTATGCCAATAGATTTATTGAACAACTTTTTACATCATCTTTTGTTCCGTTTATAACAAAACCAACTAGAATTACTCAACACACTTCTACATTAATCGATAATATTTTTACAAATAATATAGAAAAAGTTGAGAACAGTATTAATGGAATTATATTCACTGATATCTCCGATCATTTACCAATATTACACATGTTTGATTTAAAAAATCCCGTAGAAAAAAGTACCAAACAAACTAACGTAATCTATAAAAGGGAAATTAATAACTCTAACATAACATCATTTATAAACTTAATTAAAAACGCATCATGGGATAATGTATTTATTCAAGAAAATCCGACAAAATCTTTTAATGAATTTTCTAAAATATTCACAACAACCTATGAAACTAACTTCCCATTAAGACCAAAACATCTTAAAAATAATATTGATCAAGGAAACGTCCATGGATGACCAGATGCATTATAAAATCAGTGATGAGGAAAAATAAGCTGTATAAAACTTTCGTACGAAACCCAAGTGAAAAAAACAAAACTAAGTATAAAAAGTATAAAAATAAACTAAATCATATAATAAAAATGGCCAAAAAAATATATTATGAAGAACAGCTAGTAAAATATAAATATGATGCTCGAATGACATGGAAAACATTAAATGAAATCATGAATAGAAATAAAGTAAGAAAAGAACTACCAGAAGAATTTGTTGGGAATAACCCCTCTGAGTTAATTAAAGATCCTCTTAATATAGCCAACAAATTCAATGAATATTTTGTGAATGTTGGACCAGAACTGGCCAAAAGATTACCGAAAATGATGGTCAAAAAACATTTGAGCACTATCTCACTAGTAATTTGTACAAAGATAGCATGTTTCTTGAAGCAATTACCAAAAATGAAATAAAATTAGAAATATCTAATGTGAATCAAAATAAAAGTCCTGGATATGATAATATTAGTTCGAAATTCTTAAAATTAACTGCCAGCAATATTTCTGAGCCTCTTGCTCATATATTTAATTTGACTTTCCTAAGTGGTATTATCCCTGATAAGCTAAAGATAGCATTAGTTACACCTATTTTTAAAGCTAATGAAAAAAATAAATTTAACAATTACAGAGCTATATCTGTTCTTTCATGTTTTTCAAAATTATTAGAAAAACTCATGTACAAAAGATTAATCAACTTCATAGAAAAAAACAAGATATTATCAAAACATCAATATGGGTTTAGACAAAACAGATCAACAGA